TGGTCAGGCCATGAACGAGATTCGCAAGCTTCGTCGGCAGCTGACCAACCTGGTCAACTCGGTGGACAGTCACGCCGGGGCCACCATGCCGCTGACCATGCCGCTGCCGTCTCCGGAGCAGGAGCAGCTCCTGTGCCAGGCCCTCTTCTGCGGGTTTGTGGACCAGGTGGCCACGCTGAGTGATGCGGCGGCCGCGGCGGCCGTTGCCGGCCCCAATGGCCTGCCTCGTGGGACAGGCACCGCCAGCCGGCCCTATCAGACCATGTTCCAGGAGGAGCTGACATACATTCACCCGACGTCGTGTGTGGCCCGGCGGGCTGGCGGCCCGGCTCCGGCGTTCTTGGTCTTCCTGGACCTGGTTCGCACGACCAAGCGCGTCCAGATGAAGACCTGTACGGAAGTCCGGCCGACATGGCTCGCGCGCCTGGGCGCCGGCCTCTGCCAGTATTCGGACCCGTTGGAGAACCCGCCGGCGCGGTATGTCCCCGAGCGGGACACTTTGGTGGCCTTTTGCGAGGGTCTCTACGGCCCCCGGAGGTGGATTCTGCCGGTGGTGGAGATCCCCCACCCGGCTGGCTTGGACCGGATGAAGCTCTTCGCGCGGCACCTGCTCGAGGGTGATGTGGCCTTCGGCCTGCGGGAGCACGCGACCGCCGATCGCCTTATCACCAAGCCGCTGGTCATCCAGAAGCCGTGGACCCATGCGCGGTCTGTGGACTTTGTCCAGGCCCTGGTCCGGGAGAAGGTCGACTCGAAGCAGGCTCTGCGTCGGATTTGGCTGCGCCAGCCGAAGTTCCTCCTGAAGGAGTACCTCCTCTGGGTGAAGCCGGAGTTCCATACGGCCGTGTCGGCTACCTGGCCGCCGGCCCTCGACCCTCCGGTGGCTCCCTCTGCTTCGGATGTGGCGATGCGCATTTGAAGGAGCGCATGCTCAACCAGCCACGGTTGGAGGCGCCTAAATGCTCTGCCATTCCATCCCTTCACTAGCCTCCCCCCCCCCCTCCCTCACACAAAATGTGGGGGACCGAATAGACTGCTGCTCGTACGCGAGGAATGGCTCGACTGGGGGGGGGGGGGGGGGGGTGCCTCTCTTGTCCCTCCATACACACACACATACACACGACGCACCGGCGCCTCTGGCGCCTTGCGCTTCCATATGCCTAAGCCGCGGAAAAACAAGGGGCCCTCACAACTGTCCATGAGTCTACCCCCTGCTCCAAGGAGCTGCGCGTAAGGCAGAGGGCAGAAAAAAAAAAGAAAACCATGAGATGCACACATACACACACACACACAAGGGGCTGAATGTAAGGTGTGAGAAGAGGGGGGAAGTCTAGGGGGTAGTATTGCTGAACAGCGTCTCGTAGGGGCGGCTGAAATACGGTACTCGGGGAAGTCGCCGACCGGCGCGAGGCATGTGAAAACAATCAACAGGGAGGTAGTGGGGGGGAGGGGGGGGGAGAGAGGAGATATGGTACAGTTCGCTCCCCATCGAGACGGGGGGGGGGGGTAGGAGGGAGATGCAGCAGCCAGCCACACGGGTGCAGACGCCTTGGCAGCCTCTGCCGCGCGTCAGATCTCCGTCAGATGACTGACATTCGACCGGTAGGACTCGGCCACGGGCTGCTGCTCATACGAAGAAGGAGGAGGCAGGATGATGGGCACGCCCACGGCCGCCGGCGGCGGGGGCGGCGGCAGAATCACCACCGGCATGGATTCCAGCTGAATGGCACCCCCTGCGGAGAGGGCGCTCTCGCCGACCGTGTCGCCACCAGACGCCAGAGGGGGCGAAGAGGAGGATGAGAGGCTCGGGCTGCCCGGGCCGCTGGTGGCCGCCGACTTGGACATGGACAGGTCATCGTCCATGGTGGTGGCGCTGTTGCCGGCGGTGCTGCCGAATTCCGACAGCTCGATGGCACCCTGCGAGTCGACACTGGCACTCTTGCCACTGCCGCCGCCGCCGCCGCCGCTGCTGCCGCCGCCGCCGGACATGGACTTCTTGGAGGAAGAGCCATCGCCATTGCCACCGCCGCCCCGGGAGGAAGAAGACCCCCCGCCACAGCTGTTAGGGTGACTGGTGCAGCCGGCCCCGTTGTTGTCATCATTGTCGAACTTCTTCCGCCAGGCCGACGGCAGGCAGGCAATGAAGCCACGACGAATGGCCCGGCAAAGACGAGTGACCGGCGAGAAGAACCAAGCAATGGCGGCCGTGACCCGATCAACCTTCTGTTGAACCACCGCCTTGAACTTGGCCGGGATGACCAGGATCCAAATGCAGGTGACGATGATGAACACCATGCAGACGGCCGTCATCCACAGGGTGATGACCCACCAGCGATCAAGGTTGATGACCACCAGGATGCAGAAGAAGCCGGAGAGAATTTGCATCGGAAGACCGAAGCAGGTGTAATCCAGGAACCGATATCCACCAGGTGCCTGGACCATGAGGTTGGTCTGGTAGCCGATGGGGCTCATGAAGTCGGCGGAACTGGCAAACATCAGCACATACAGCATCACCTCCATCGGGAAGTAGCCCTTCTGGTAGATGGTGTAGGCGATGGGGAACATGATGGCCACGCAGGCGTTGTTGGTGACCACCGAGTTGAAGACCACGCAAATGAGGTAGAAGCAAATCAACAGCACATGGGAGCCAGCCTTGGAGGCCGAGTCGATCAGGGCCTCGGCCACGAGTTGCGCCGCGCCGGAGTTACTGAGCGCCGCGGACAGGGCAAACCCAGCCGCGATCATGATCATCACCTCGAGATTGAGCGACCGCCGGGCCTGGGCCGCCGACAGGCAGCCCGTCAGCATGAGCACCCCGACGCCGAACATGGCGCACAGGGCAATCGACACCTCGGCCAGGGCCGACACCGCGATGATGGACAAGATCACCAGGAAGGAGATGATGGCCTTGTAGTGATCCACGACGCTGGCCTGCAGCAGGGCCGCACGGTGGGAATGGATATTGCGCGAGGAGGAGTCCAGCTCGGCCGGAGTCGGCTGCCGGTAGGCACCCACGCGCCGGACCAGGGCAAAGGGCGAAGACAAGGGCGAGGCATCCTTGTAGGTCTTGAGGAAGTTGGGCGTGGCCACCAGGAGCAGGGCGTCACCCGGCCGCAGGACCACCGCACCGATGCCGCCATTGGAATCGGCATTCGGCCGGCGGGTGTTGGTGCGCACCCGGCGGAAGGAGGCCGCGCCCCCGGCAATGGGGTTCCGACGGAAGCGCCGCTGGCCGCCATAGCCGGCCTCCGGGTCCGAGGTGAAGTCCTCCTCATCGGACAGGCCATCGGTGGAATTGCGGCCGGAATCGAAGAAGGCCGAGTCGGCGCCGCTGGTGGTGCCGGCCCCGGCGCGGCTGCCGCCACCGACCCCGCTCTCGGTGGAAAGAGCATGGGGCCCGGCCGGCGACTGGGGTGACGACGGCAACAGCAGCGCCCCACTGGCGCTGGTGGCCACAAGCGGACTGTCAGCATAGTCGTCCCCCATGGCCGGACCATCGAAGGAGTAGCCCTTGGCCGAGGGGAGGGTGGTGAAGCTCTTGGCCCGGCCACGCATGCCGGGCAGCGGGGTCGAAGCCGCGGCATTGATGCCGGTCGACCGGCGCGGGGACTCCGGGAAGACACCGGACTCGAAGTCCACCGAGTGCAGGGTCTTCATGCCGGGCTGCGGGGGCTTCATGTAGGGGGTGGGCCGGTCGCAAACACGCTCACCGCCACGGTGCACGGCGATGATGGCCGCCTGGAAGCGAGTGCGGAATTCGACATCGCGCACGGTCTTCCCGACGATGGCGCCGCCCTTGAAGGATCCACCGGCACCGAGGACCACCTCCACCAGCTCGCGATTGCCGCGCAGGTTTTCCAGGTCCGGATGCCGGGGATCCTCGGCCAGGACAAGCCCATGCGCCAGGGCACGGGTGGTCAATTGGGCCACATTCGACACGTCGCCGGCGAAAACCAGCTCGTCACCCGGCAGGAGGATGGTCTCCGGGCTGGGAGCAGGCAGAGAGAGGCCAGACCGGACGACATCCACCAGGAAGAGCCCGGGCAGGTGGCGGAGGCCGGCCTGCTCGACAGTGCGGAAGGCAGCCGAGGAAGCGGGGTTGCTGGCGGAGGAGGCACCGGCGGCAGGGGTGACCGCGGTGGCGGTGGCGGTGGCGGTGGCGGTGGCGGTGGCGGCGGGGCTGGCGGCGGTGACGGCGGCGGTCGAGTTGCCATCGGCATCGGTGGCCGGGCGCACGGGCCGGAGGTGATCCACGGCCGAGGGGACGGTGGTGGCCGAGGAGGTGGCCGTGACAGCGGGGGCCGCCCCGTTGGTCGAGCCCTCCAGGGACTTGACCGAGGTGTTGTTGTTGACACTGAGCACATGCACGGAGACCAGATACTCGCGGGGGTTTTCGAGCACGGTGCTGGCGGTCACACGCGAGGGCAGGAGATCCGAAAAGACCATGAGGTACGTGCAGCAGGAGACGAAGACCGGCAGGCCAATGCGGCCGAGATCGAACATCTGGATGTCCACATCGATGCCGCGCTGCTTGGCCATGCCAAGGGCCACAAGGTTGGTGGATGTGCCGATGATGGTGAGCGTGCCGCCGACGATGACACAGAAGCTCAGGGGCATCATCATCTTGCTGGGGGAGAGGCCATTCTCGCGGGCAAACTGCTCCAGCACCGGGATAAAGATGGCCACCACCGGGGTGTTGTTGATGAAGGCCGAGATGACACCGAGGATGACCACCATGCGGCCCATCGTCAGGGGGAAGGGCTCGGACCGGCGATACCCGTAGAACATGAAGCGTTTGATGTACTCCAGGGCGCCGGACGATTCGACCGAGGCGCACACCATGTATAGGACCATGACGGTCATGAGGCCCTCATTGGCGAAACCCTGCACGCGAAAAGGGAGTCCGGGGGAGGGGGGCGAAGGGACATATGGTTGGAGGCGCCTAAATGCTCTGCCATTCCATC